CCCAGAAGGTGTTTGCGAAATAGATGTGTCTTTAAGTCGTTTTTAAAGGACTCCAGTGTCTGGTTGTTTCTGAAAGCGACTGGAAGGGCGTTCCAAATTGTTGGGCCAACAAATGCGAAAGTGCGCTATCCGTAAGTCTCAAAGCGAACACGTGGTGTCGAGAGTTTGCCACTATCGGATGAGTGTTGTCTAGTGTGTATATAAGGCATCAGCAGCTCTTTCAGATAGGACGGCGCCAGGTCATGTAAGCAGCGGTAGCACAAAGTTGCATTTTGTACTCTATACGAGCGGGGACCGGCAGCCAGTGCAGCTCTCTCCAAATTGTTTAAGCATGGTCGAACTTGCGTTTGCGAAGAACAATGCGAGCCGCAAAATATTCAAAATAATTAGCTACTATATTTATAATCCACTAGAGATATGCGATGTATATACTCTATACACATTCATAGCGCGGTATGCGCCACGAAATTTACATGAATGGCGGCGGTGGTTCAAAACGAGGCTAGCTTGATTCGGTATGTATAAGTATGTAAATCAATAGTTCTACGTATAAAGTAGAAGAAAATACTATAGATGTGAATCCAATTGAAACCATGTATGATATCTTAGAATACTATAGATGTGAATCCCATTGAAACCATGTATGATATCTTAGAATACTATAGATGTGAATCCCATGTATGATATCTTAGAATACTATGGATGTGAATCCCATTGAAACCATGTATGATATCTTAGAATTCTATAGATGTGAATCCCATTGAAACCATGTATGATATCTTAGAATACTATAGATGTGAATCCAATTGAAACCATGTATGATATCTTAGAATACTATAGATGTGAATCCCATTGAAACCATGTATGATATCTTAGAATACTATAGATGTGAATCCTATTGAAACCATGTATGATATCTTAGAATACTATAGATGTGAATCCCATTGAAACCATGTATGATATCTTAGAATACTATAGATGTGAATCCCATTGAAACCATGTATGATATCTTAGAATACTATAGATGTGAATCCCATGTATGATATCTTTGAATACTATAGATGTGAATCCCATGTATGATATCTTATCAAAGCTGTGCAACTATCTCTTCGAATTGAGTTTTATAAAATTGACTGCGTGGAGACTCAAAACTGCTGCGCGGCGTCTGTGAGATAGCTGCAGCTTAAAGGGAATATTGCATCCATGTAGCATCCATGTAGCATTCATGTAGCATTCATTTGGCATTCATGTAGTATCCATGTGGCATATCAGAATTTAGATAATTGGACAAGGAATAAGTTTGCATTCATAAAAAAGTGGAAAAAAATGAGAGAAAAACTTGAGTGACATTATGACAGGATTATAAAAGTACAAGTAGCAATACAAAGTTGTTTCCTACTCCCCAACCCAAAAACCAGCTAAGAATCATCCAATCCAGTTGATGTTTTCAGCCAATAAGCCTCTTAACATATATCCAAAAAGAAGTCTTTTTACATATAGATCCAAAAATAAGTCTTTGTACATATATTCAAAGATAAATCTTTGTACATATATCCGAAGTATGTGCAAAGTTTCGTTTCAATAGTTCAAGTCATTGTTAAGTTATGATTTTTTTTCTCAACCTATGCACTAACACTGTAACACTGTCGAAAATATAAATGAAATGACTGCTTTCAAGCTTAGTAAATGAATGAAATAGCGAAACGATGTATGTGGAGGCTTGAATAAGATAACAGGACAAAAAACAAGGACGTTTCGGCATAGAGCCTTCCTCAGCCAACAGTAGAAATGAAAATATAACAAAAAACAGAGCACAGAAGACAACTAAAGAAGTATCCATTGGTGTCGAACTATGAACTAACACTGTAACACTGTTATCCTATGCACTAACACTATAACAATGTCATCATGTCTCCGTTATCAACGCTTTGTTCAACTCTCGTGAACTTCTCCATCTCACGCCTTACATTGACACACTTTGTTTATTATGCTATTCATATCATCCAATGACCATTCAGACACAATAAGACAACACCTGACACAACTCACGGACCAAAACGTTTTCATACTAACAACAGTGATTCTCATACCCCTAACAGTGCTACCTTATGAATGCTATAAAAAATGTCTATTGTTTTGTGGATAGTATCAAAAGTGTCTATTGTTTTGAGGAAGCTATCGTCACATTGGAGATGTGGTCGGTGGGTCGTCGAGAGTGAGCTCTTAATGCCCCCCCCTGGCACCCCCCCTGGCACCCCCCCCACATGGACTCCCCGCCGCCAGACCGTGCGGAAGCACGTCGGAAACCTCTCCCTGGCCTGGGGGACGTCCGGTCGACCGAAAACGCGGCGTTTAAAGCGTTCGTGGTCCACTCTCCGAGGGTCAGAACGGCTTTGTTTCCACTCCGGGGGAAAGGTGTGGCGTTACCTCCCCCCACCGTCCAGGGAGCCGTCCGGTTGGGACGAAGGCCGGTACGAAACGGTCGCCTAGGAGCGGCTTTCTCGGGGCCGCGTAGCTAAAATCATCGGTATGGGTTTTAACCGTCACCCAGACCTCATATCCATTAACGGCAACAAGTCAGCATGTTGTTGCGTTACTCCCGTTGCGTTGGGAGTCATGCAGGTGGCCGGGATTTTTGGCTTCGGGAGAGAGACCTTCCTACTAGTCAGGCAGGCCATGAAGAGGCAAACCCCATGGGACACCACCAAGTCGCCTCGGTGGTGCGGGTCCCTGACTTAGAGGCGTTCAGTCAGTGCCCCCCAGATTTGGAAGCTATGAAATGTGTCTCTTGTTATGTGTTTAAAGCGTTCACGGTCCACTCTGCCAGAGGGTTTCGGCGGGTTTGCTTCCACTCCAGGGAAGTGGTGTGGTGTTAACCCCCTCCCCCCACAGCCGAAGGAGTCTTTAAGTCGAGACGAAAAGCTGGGAAAAAATTGTTGCCTTGGTAGTCATGCGGTCGGCCGGGGTTTTGGGCTTCAGTTGGACAAGTCCACCCTACTAGTCTGCCACGCCACGAAGAGGCAAACTCCATGCGGACGCCACCAAGTTTCCTCGGAGACGCTATCAAAATTTCACTTGTTTTTTGGAAGCTATGAAAAGTGTCTATTGTTATTTGGAAGCTATCAAAAATGTCTATGTTTATGTGGAAGCTATAAAAAATATTTATTATTACAAAGAAGCTATCAAAAGTGTCTATTGTTATGTGGAAGGTATCAAAAGTATCTACTGATGTGTGCAAGATTATCTCACATTAAGAAATGGTGTTAGTGGGCCGTCGAGCTAATGCTTTTTATGCCCTCCCCAAAACACCCCCCTAAGCCCGGTATCGGGCCGCGAAGTTGCACGTTGGAGATGTCTCTTTGCCTGGACAGCCCCCAACTGAGTCCGTTCGATCGGGTTCCGCTGGAGGCCGCCCCAACCCAAAGACACCCAGTTGGTCTGAGACTGTGTTTGCACACAGTGCACACAATCGCCTTTCACAGGAGTTGGGATTGTAAATGTAAGTCCTAAAATCTTCCCCCCACCCATCCCGGGGAAGCTTTGGACGCCCTCTAAGAGGGTTCCCACAGTGGGTTTCCACAACGCAACTAATTTGCGTTGTAGCTAGGACGAAACGGTTGCCTTGGACCAGCTTCTCAGGGCTGCATAGTAAGAATCGTCGGCTACAGGTTACTACCTTCGCCTATAGCGTCATATCCATTAACGACTGCTTGTAATCAAGATCCCTACTATGTCTCTGCCTTTAATTCCAATTGTGAATTGTCACAGCTGGCAGCCCTGTAGGCGCAGGACGCGCCACATTGGTCTTGTTCCCTGGGTAACGTCGAGGGGGGTCGGTGTCCGGCGCCTCCTAATCGACAAGCCACCACAGTCTTGTCAACCGGAGCACCAGGGGATGTGGAAGCTATGAAAAGTGTCTATTGTTATGTGGAAGCTATGAAAAGAGTCTATTGTTATGTGGAAGCTATGAAAAGTGTCTATTGTTATGTGGAAGCTATGAAAAGTGTCTATTGTTATGTGGAAGCTATGAAAAGTGTCTATCTTTATATGGAAGCTGGAAAATATATATATTTCTAGATGGAAGCTATCAAAAGTGTATATTGTTATGGGCCCCTCTTTACATTATCTTTGTATCATTCCAATTATTTAACTATCTTTGTATCATTCCAATTATTTAACTATATTTGTATCATTACAATTATTTAACTATCTTTGTATCATTCCAGCTATTTAACTATCTTTGTATCATTCCAATTATTGAACTATCTTTGTATCATTACAATTATTTTAAAATCTTAGTATCATTTCAATAATTTAACTATCTTTGTATCATTACACTTATTTAACTATCTTTGTATCATTCCAATTATTGAACTATCATTGGATTGTTACAATTAATGAGCTATCTTTGTATAATTCCAATATTTTAACTGTCTTTGTATCATTCCAATTATTGAACTATCTTTGTATCATTCCAATTATTGAACTAATTTTGTATCATTCCAATTATTGAACTATCTTTGTATCATTCCAATATTTGAACTATCTTTCCATCATTCCAATTCATGCAACTATCTTTCCATCATTCCAATATTTCAACTATCTTTCCATCATTCCAATTCATGCAACTATCTTTCCATCATTCCAATATTTCAACTATCTTTCCATCATTCCAATTCATGCAACTATCTTTCCATCATTCCAATATTTCAACTATCTTTCCATCATTCCAATTCATGCAACTATCTTTCCATCATTCCAATATTTCAACTATCTTTCCATCATTCCAATTCATGCAACTATCTTTCCATCATTCCAATAGTTCAACTATCTTTCCATCATTCCAATTCATGCAACTATCTTTCCATCATTCCAATATTTCAACTAACTTTTCATCATTCCTATTCATGCAACTATCTTTCCATCATTCCAATTCATGCAACTATCTTTCCATCATTCCGATTCATGCAACTCTATTTGTATCATTCCTCGTATCACCCAGGTGCCTAGACACTATGATGATCCAGGGAAAGGCAACTATTGGATGATGGATCCATCCTCAGATGACGTCTTTATCGGAGGAGCCACTGGAAAACTCCGGAGGAGGTCGTCCTCTCACTCCAGACATCGCCTTGTGGCCATCAAACGCATGGGCCATCCACTTGACGGGCTGCCCGGGTTTTTCCCACCACCACCGCAGCATCGCTTGACCGCCTTCCAGCTGGCTTTCAGCTCAGCCTACCACGTCCCTGTCCACGCCGACGTGATGGCCTGCCCACAACACCAATCTCAGAGCATGCGCTCGCCATTTACATCGGGGATTCCCCTAACGTCATCAGTCTGGCCCATGCCGCCTCCTGTCTATGCACCTCACCACTATGCCAACTCCTTTCAAGCCAATGAGTACACCAGTACGCTTCGAACACCATCCCCTAATGACAGGGATAGCCTGTGTAGCCCCTACGACCATAATCATCCTGCTGGTCAGTCGAAACACATTCCTACATTCACAGAGGCGTACCATCAACCCTCTTCCGGCACTCTGCACCAGCACAGTGCATTCAGTCTTGCCACCGCGCACCACATAGATTACCGTGTACCGTCTCCCGTGGCATTCAGCATGGACATGTACGCCAGACTCCGAGTCCTGGCAGAAGTTCGCCAACATATGGCGTCAGCTTGGAGCTCCATGACGCAGGGTCCCTTTATCACCGGATTACACCACGACCCTGCCAACCTGACACCGAAATCTGGCCTAGAAGCTAGATCAAGTGACACGTCTGCTTTAATCACGTCCCCTAACTCTCCGTTCACACCAGTCGTTCCAAGCACCAGGTCCGCGTCATGAGTGTAGCTCGAGTTAAGTTCTCATTAAGTCAATAAATTTCACGATCATCACCTTATTGTGTGCCTTGTTCGTTTTGTCTCGCCTTTACACCTGTGTCTATGAGGTGTTAACTGGTTTATGTAGCCATTGTTATCAGATGGCGCGGAGTAATATTTCTGTCATTGCTAGTCTCTAATTGTCCGTATCTCCGCACGCGGGCGACTCATACAGGTCAATGAACTTAACACTGATTAATCTCAGGTTCAAAAATAAGAGAATAATTTGCATGATGTATTCATCAAATATTAATTAGCATACAATAATTGCTTCATCTAAAAGGACATATTAAAATAAATACTGTTCGTAAAATTCAGTTGTCACCCTTACTTTTGTTGTCAATGTTTGTCACCGTTACTTCTGTTGTCAATGTTTGTCACCGTTACTTTTGTAGTCAATGTTTGTCCCCATTACTTGTGTTATAGTCAATGTTTGTCACTGTTACTTGTGTTATAGTCAATGTTCGTCACCGTTACTTGTGTTATAGTCAATGTCTGTCCCCGTTACTTGTGTAGTCAATGTTTTTCCCTGTTACTTGAGTTATAGTAAATGTTTGTCACCGTTACTTGTGTTATAGTCAATGTTTGTCACTGTTACTTGTGTTATAGTCAATGTTTGTCACTGTTACTTGTGTTATAGTCAATGTTTGTCACTGTTACTTGTGTTATAGTCAATGTTTGTCACCTTTACTTGTGTTATAATCAATGTTTGTCACCGTTACTTGTGTTATAATCATTGTTTGTCACTGTCACTTGTGCTATAATCAATGTTTGTCACTGTTACTTGTGTTATAGTCAATGTTTGTCACCGTTACTTGTGTTATAGTCAATGTTTGTCACTGTTACTTGTGTTATAGTCAATGTTTGTCACTGTTACTTCTGTTATAGTCAATGTTTGTCACTGTTACTTGTGTTATAGTCAATGTTTGTCACCGTTACTTGTGTTATAGTCAATGTTTGTCACTGTTACTTGTGTTATAGTCAATGTTTGTCACCGATACTTGTGTTATAGTCAATGTTTGTCACCGTTACTTGTGTTATAATCATTGTTTGTCACTGTCACTTGTGTTATAATCAATGTTTGTCACCGTTACTTGTGTTATAGTCAATGTTTGTTACCGTTACTTGTGTTATGGTCAATGTTTGTCACTGTTACTTGTGTTATAGTCAATGTTTGTCACTGTTACTTGTGTTATAGTCAATGTTTGTCACTGTTACTTGTGTTATAGTCAATGTTTGAAATAAAATTAGTTGATGCGGGCAACACTGCTGTTTAAGTAGATACTCAAGGACATAAAAATTAGAGTCTCAGCAGCGGCAAACCAACAGCGGCACACCAGCGGCGGCGTCTGGGTTTTCAGATTTAGTACCTGGAGTACAGAATATTTGGCCAGAAAATATTACAAACACGATTAATGTTGAGAAATTTAAATCCCTTCACTTTTGTTATATTTCAGTTGTATGCTTGTATTTTTACGTAATAGCCAGGCGAAGTCATACAAAGCCATAAAAGCCAGAGAAAGCCATAAAAGTAAGACAAAGCCATGAAAGCCAGAAAAAGTCATGAAATCAAAACAAAGTCAGACAAAGCCATAAAAGCCAGACCTAGCAATGAAAGCCAGACCTAGCCATAAAAGCTACACCTAGCCATGAAAGCCAGACCTAGCAATGAAAGCCAGACCTAATAATAAAAGACAGACCTAGCCATAAAAGTTGGACCTAGCTATGAAAGTCATACCTAGCCATGAAAGCCAGATCTAGCCATGACAGTCAGACCTAGCCAAAAAGCCAGACCTAGCCATAAAAGCCAGAACGAGCAATGAAAGCCAGACCTAGCCATAAAATCCACACCAAGCCATGAAAGCCAGACCTAGCAATGAAAGCCAGACCTAATAATAAAAGACAGACCTAGCCATAAAAGCTAGACCTAGCAAAAAAAGCCATATCTAGCCACGAAAGCCAGACCCAGCCATGACAGTCAGACCTAGCCATGACAGTCAGACCTAGCAAAAAAATCCAGACCTAGCCATAAAAGCCAGATCGAGCAATGGAGACAGACCTAGCCATGAAAGCCAGAACTAGGAATGAAAGCCAGAACTAGCCATGAAAGAGAAACTTACCAATGAAAGCCAGACCTAGCCATGAAAGCCAGACCTAGCCATAAAAGCCAGACCTAGTCATAAAAGCCAGACCTAATAATAAAAGACAGACCTAGCCATAAAAGCTAGGCCTAGCTATGAAAGCCATACCTAGCCATGAAAGCCAGACCTAGCCATGACAGTAAGACCTAGCCAAAAAGCCAGTCCTAGCCATAAAAGCCAGACCGAGCAATGAAAGCCAGACCTAGCCATAAAAGCCACACCAAGCCATGAAAACCAGACCTAGCAATGAAAGCAAGACCTAATAATAAAAGACAGACCTAGCCATAAAAGCTAGACCTAGCAATGAAAGCCATATCTAAGCCATGAAAGCCAGACCTAGCCATGACAGTCAGACCTAGCCAAAAAATCCAGACCTAGCCATAAAAGCCAGATCGAGCAATGGTGACAGACCTAGCCATGAAAGCCAGTCCTAGCCATGAAAGCGAGACCTAGCCATGAAAGCCAGAACTAGCCTTAAAAGCAAGACCAGCCATAAAAGCCAGACCTAGCCACGAAAGCCAGACCTACCAATGAAAGCCAGACCTAGCCATGAAAGCCAGACCTAGCCATGAAAGCAAGACCTGGCCATTAAAGCCAGACCTGGCCATGAAAACCAGAGCTAGCCATAAAAGCCAGACCTAGCCATGAAAGCCAGACCTAGCCATGAAAGCCAGACCTAGCCATGAAAGCCAGACCTAGCCAT